GCTTCAGTCAAAACAGTTTGGAAACTATGAAATGAGTCATTTTTTTTTTTCTTAAAGAAATGTAACTTTGTCTATTCTCACTGCATTTTTGGTTTGGTAGGAGACATCTTTATTCCACAGGATTTTAAAAGCATGTTTAAGATTCCATAGGTTTAGTATTACATCACTAATGGTTTCTAATGAGATCCAGGCAACAGCAAGAAGGGAAAAGAACAGCACGAAAACTGAATTCTACAACACCAGCTACCACAAAAAATGTGGAAAAGTCTCCATGCTTTATCTATGGCTGAAGCCATCTGGTCAAAAGGGGTAAATTCACATTCCATCAACCAGATGTAGATGACATGATACCTGATATTTGGTTATTTGGAATCAGTCATCTAAGGCACTGAGATTTTTTACTTTTCATGCAGATGTTTGCTGCCATGTGGTTACGGTCAAAATGAATTGGTGAAACATGCAAATATCTAGACATTGTATTCATTCTATGGAGCGCTTAAGACCTCAGTTACTTGTTTGATTTTGTTCTCATAAACACCTTCAGAAAAAAATTACATAAATTTTACTTTTGAGATGATGTCTGTGTATATATAGGAAGAGAATGACAAAAATAAATCTTCCCCCCAAGCCTTCAGCAATTCTGGCATTTTAAGGAAGACAGATGAGGGGACAGTTGGGGCAAGCAGGATAACCCACAGAGGAGGTACTATTCCAGGGCAGATCCTTTTCTTTGGGGAATGATAATGGGTAAGTGGGATGAATGGAGAATTTTTAGAATTTTTGATTAAGGGTTCTGAAATTAAACTTTCTAATCTATGAATGGGTGTGATAACAGCCACTAACACCAGTTTGGAACTTCATAGTGTCAAAATTTCTTTTGCCTTCACGATCACATTTGATCCTCACTGAAGCCTCTTATAAAGTTTTCCATAGAACCGGGCATCTATAGACTGATGCTGGGCAATAATTTTGATAGCTGAACTGATAAAATTTATCTCTTGTTCAGACAGGTGATTCTAGAAATTCTACAAAGTCTCTCTTTATCTCATTTACCCATTATCATTCACCCAATAAATTGTCAGCGCAAAGCAAGGAGATAAAACATTTTCTCATTTATCTGACAAACCTCATTTTGGGCCTAGACATTGGCATAGTAAAAAACAGCTATTGGCACCTCATGAAACAGGAAATTCTAAAAGTGAACATTTCTAATTTCTCTTCAATATATAACTTCAACTTAGCAAGCAGTCCTGTGCCCAAAATAATATAGAGTTGCCCAAGGATTGGCACCACCTTGAGCAAGAATTTGGTGAAAAGCCACAAAGTCGTCAGTTGTTTTATGATTTTAGTCTCAACAGTTTTATTAATAGCTTCAGACTTTCCCCTCTAAGTGTCTGGCCAACAGGAGAGTTCAGTGTGTCACATCTTACCCATTTTTATAAAAATTAATTGCTAAATCTTTGATGGAAACAAGGAAATGATAAATAGACAGAGAGACAGACAGAAAGGCATGCTGGAGTTTTAATTGTTTGAGCTACAGATGTCATCTTTAGACTTTGTCTGACTTCACTATAAAACAAGGAAATTTGTACACTTACATTTTTTCTTATAATCCCTTCCCCATTATAAAGTTATATTATTATTATTTCTGACATTGTTAAAGTATATAACTTTACATTTTGTAATCATAATGCCAACAGTTGCTTAGCCTTAGTTTTATATTTAAATTGACTTATTTGAAGTATAATCTAAGATGAAAACAACCAAATTTTAGTGACTAAAGGCAAGTAAATAGTTTGCATAGCTTTTCTCCTCCCTTCCCTCCCAATGGTCATTGTGGTTTCATGTTACCATTTAAAATTTTCTAAGAAATGTATCCCATTGTCCACATGTTATTAGTCTTTTAAAAAATATTTTAAAATGCTGGGAATGCTAATATATATTTTAAAGTCAAAACTACGGTTCTCCACCACCCTCTGCTTCTTCCCACCCCACATCCCAGAAAAATAATATTTGACAGTATTAACAATAATGCAGAGTAACACATCTGTTAAATTGGGAAGCTATGGACATCTAGTGTTTCTAGAGAATCTCATTTTAAATTACACTAATGACTAAGGATGCAAGGTAGACCTTCAGATCATCTAAACATTTCCATTGGATAATGTGGTCCATCTTCCAGGAACAGCGAAGATGATTTTTTTCCTTATATTATAGCCTTTGTTCCAATATTTTGTGGATCTTGTAGTAGTATTTGAATAAGATCACCTGACATCTAGACTTTCATTGTATCTATCAGCAGTCTTCAGGCTCAGAAGCATTTTACTGGAAGATTAAATGTGTTTTATCCACTTGGCCTGTGCCAGATTTCTCCTAGATTTTATTGCTTCCCTTTTCAACAACATAGAACCAAATATTTTCCCATAGGAACCAACAGACATGGGAGTAAAGTGGTTCCAAGGGCAATTCTACTCATAGGTTTCAGGTCACTGTCCATCTATCTAGTGTCAAGATCATCAGATTAGTCAGTTTAATCTTATTAAAGTATAGACAGACCATCCTTATCATAACTATCAGTATGGACTGAAGTTACACCGAGAATATGTCTTAGAAGTTTCTGGTTACCATAGGTATAGACATGAACTTAAAATTCTCTCTTAGATCCAAATTCTCATGAAAACCAAACTGAAGTGAGTAGAAGGATAAAAAAAAGCAGATCAGAAAAATTTGAAGACCATGTCTGATTTTCATTAGACCCAATGTTTTAGTTCCTGTTCTCTTTCAGGGTGTAGTTTAGAGGCCAGTGTGTATTTTCATGGCTATCCTGATCCCTTCTTTAAAACTATGTGTTTTATGTGTAGTCATCACAGGGTGATCCAACACAGAGATCTCTGCCATGCCTTCTAATTTGCTGACTAAATTTTTCAAAACTTGATAGAGCTGCTTTCCACATTATTGAACTGGGTTGAGGTTGTGTAGGTATTTACATGCTTTTGTTAAGCAATCTGGAGTATCTCAAACAGTAAGGGAATGGATATCAGTTTGGCCTCATGACATCAACTCAAAACAACACATTTATAGTAAGCATTTACTATGTGCTAGGAACAGTGCTAAGCAAAGAGGACCAAACTATAAACAAGAGAGACATTGTTCCGGTCTTATTAAGTTTGCAGTCTAGTAGGGATATAAATATTAAATATCATAATACGGTGTGATAATCTTGCTCTAGAGAAAGTATCAGGCATTGTCAGAGCACAGAGAAAGGGAATGAGTCAAACTTGAGACTGTTTAGCTTTCTTGAGGGAGCAATATCTAAGCTGGGACTTGAGGTAGCCAATTGAAAGGGTGTGGAATGAAGTGGGAAATGCTTCTCAATTTCCCAGAGAGTGTCATTCATGTCTCAAAGGTATTCTCTACTCTCGGCCTTTGATTTTTCCTTCCAGATTTCACCTGGGGTCGCTACTCCATCAGGTTAGATTCTTTGTCTCGAGTCCCTCTTGCTTTGTGCAAAAGGAGAAGAGCTTACAGAGGAGAGGGGAGGAGAAGACATTGTCTGGGTTTGGGGTCTGGATTTGCTATCTTTCTTTCAAAGAAAAGCCCTCTTTGGGGTGGCCAGTTTGGATTTTCCTCACTGATGGAGCGTGATTGAAACCTCTACACATACCTCTGGCACCCAGTCTCCTGTTTTTTCCTCCTAAAGTTTTCCGTTACAAATAAACAAAAATGTTGGCATGTGGACTACTGACCCTGGTTGACTGCTTGGTTCCAGTCTTGGAACGCATTATAGACACCAACTTCACGTTGTGTCCAGCTGCCACTTGGAGCATGGCTGCCATCTGACCTGTTTCTGTGGTGACCCACAGAAGCTCTGGCACAGTGGTGGGTCATTGAGTTATATTTTCCAGAGAGGACTGATAATTGCGAGATTTACTGAGCAGCGAAATATGACCCATTAAATTCAGCCTAAAAATAATTTTTGCTCTGAAAAAAGAAAATCTAATTACCTCGTTCTTCACTATGAAAAATTGGGTTCATCTGGGTAAGGAGCCATGGACCCTTCCTTTGAAGTAGACCATACATTCCAAAAGATCTCTGGCAGAGTCTGGGGTCTGCTTCTGATTAGATAACTGACATACACCTCCCTACATAAACATCAAACCCTTCAAAAATAGAGAAGCACCTGAATAAAATGCATCTTTGTTTTAAGTAGAAGGCTTTCTGCAATAATTAGTTATTGGACAGCAGTTTACTTTTCCTTTTATCAACCACTGTTAAGGCCTAAGAAGCAAAAACTATATCAGATGAAATTCTAGCTGAAACTTCAAATCAGTCTTCAATCCAGTCTAGGTAGTATCAAGTTTACTGTTGACCTCACGGAAGTACTTTTACATTTATGTTCCATCCCTGCCTCACAGAACTGAATTCATTGCTAATAAAATATGAATCTCGAAAAGTAAAATATTGTGTTTCCCTCAGAATATGTTGCTCTTTGTGTAGACGACAAAAAATAAAATAAAACAACTTAAGTCTCTGCGTGTATGTGTATCTTGCCTCCTTCCACAAGGAATGTGATCTTTGTATATACAACTCAAAAACAGTTAACCAAGGAAAAGAGAACAAGAGTAAACTCCTGTGGCCTCATTACAGATGAGGTTATAGCGAAATGGGTTGAAGGTTACTGTGAAGACAACTATTGTTTGAAAATTCTAATCCTGTTGCCACATACATGTGACTTTTCAGGCAAATCCTAAAAGGAGAAATAAAAATCAATATCTTCTATCTTGAAAGGCTCCTTAAATAGTGAAACGAGTTTGAGACTTCCTGCTTCACTTAGATTCTTAAATACTTTGTGCCAACTGATTGCTGCCTCCCGGTGTGGTTTTACCATTTAGCTTTTGTATATTTTACGAAAGGAAACAATAACTTTGTTATGTCCTTAACAGGTTGGGCTTTATGAAGATAAACTTTTAGAAGAAATGTAATTTTTAAAAACAGCTCACTCAGTTGCAGGCAAGCTTGTCTCTTCAAAGTGTAGAGAAGTGTTCAATAAACATCACTTGGGCACTTCCCCATAAAAAGGTCAGGATCTAGAGAAAGACTGTGGTTGTTCTGAATTATTTCTTGTTTTAAAAAGTGCTTTCTATCTGAAGGTCTGTGGATTGTACCAATGTCAATTTCTTAGGTTTTGATACTGTACTATAGTTAAGTAAAATATTACCTCTGGAAAAAACTGGAGGAAGGGTTCTTGGGACCTCTCTGTACTATTTTTGTAACTTCCTGCTAGTCTATAATTATTTCAAAATAGAAAGTTTTAAAAAATTAAAATTAATGTCGGTGGTCAAAAAGAGCAAATAAGGAAAAAAGTCCTTTCTAACCAGCTCGAGAAGGCACATATCTATCTGTTGACACTGTGTTTGTTAAACAGAACCCTTCATTAATACAGTCTTGCAGAAGCCTCTCAGCAAACTTGAACTCCTCCAGAGATGCACTCTTGACAACTCCAACCCTACATAAAAAGACTAGAGATTAAAAAAAATAAAAAAATAAAATAAAACTGAAGCGATCATGATTTCCTAGCAAACGTAAACAGCACTTCATTGCTGTGGTTATCACACTAACACTCTCTACGACAAATAATCCAACTCAATGAATCTTGTCTCTACTCCTATAACGGCCACTCTTCTAAAACAAAAGGTAAATAACTATTTACAAAGCCAGGAAGAAAAAAGATTCCACCAGAGAAGTTTAAGGAAACTTAAGTTCATTGTTCTGCCTTCTGACTCAGTAGAGCTTCAGCACTAAAGCCATGGACTTGTCAACAAAATGTAACTAGCATTGGAAGGAACCACTGGAATTGTCTTCTCCAGTATTTGGCTGAAGATATGGGTCCTTTGACTGCACAGTTCACTTCGATGTCCTTACTCTCTAAATTTTACCCATTCATTTGAAGACTCAAAAAATCCTGCAAAAATGCCAGTTCAGTCAAAGCCACAACATAAACATAAAACTTCCAAATTAATTGATGTTGTATATACAGAACAGCCAACCGTTAGCTTAAATTAGGTGAACAGAAAGTGACTGTTCAGAAATGGTTGTGTTTATGCAAATGTACACGTGGTATGAGAATAGCATCATAAGTTCTTTCAAATATGTTGGAGTAGCTTTTAAATTACAAGCTAAATGTAACTAGTCAAGTTCCCACCTTCTCCAGTATGTGAAAATCAATAAATAGAAAATGCAAGAACTCCAGCAATTTCCTTCAATAAATGGTTGTTAATTGATAAACTGTGAGACTCTTGGGCCGAAGGCCACGGCAGGGTACAGTGCTGGGAATACATCTAATTCGAAAAACCACACATTTAACCAGATACTGAGATAAACTCCAACTTGATATAAAATGTGGTTTTATTTTAAAACTCTATCTGAAGGTCTGTGGATTGTACCAATGTCAATTTCTTAGGTTTTGATACTGTGCTATAGTTAAGTAAAATATTACCACTGGAAATATTTTAGTCTACATGTGTACATACAAGCTGTTATATTTTTCCAGAAAAATATAATATTGGGGCTGAAAGATGATTGCCACTGGAGGGAAGTTATCTAACTAAACTAAATCAGCAAACCCTTAGCTAGGCTGAGAGAAAATAGAACGGCCCCGAGCAAAACTAATATTCTAGATCTGGTCAAGGGGACACGAGACACATTCACAACTGAATGACCCTGAGTAACAGCGCAATTAAAAGGAAGATTCTTAAAGAATTGATATTTTACAAAAGGAATATGTGCCAATTAAGAGGATAGATTTTTTAAAAATTAACATACTTTATTTTTTTGAGATTAGATTTTTAAAAAGTATTTGATAACAGATTCTTTTGAGAATATCATAAATTTATAAATTATAGTACATATTCTATCTCTACTTTTTTTTTATGCGTTTGGTTCAAACACCCGATTGCTCAGTTCAACTAGCTTACTAGATTTGCTCAGTCCGGTCAAAACCCTAAAACTTGCCAGCTTCTAGAAGCTAAAGTAAAACTCTGGACTGAGATCTCACAGGCCTACACCTTCCCCCAACCTTAAGAACCATTAGGGTCACCCCTCTAAACCAATTATAAGAATATAATATTGATGACCCATCAGGAACAGATGAAGACATTACAGCAACTCATTTAGGGAACTCTGCTGGTGATCAGAAGAGTTCCCAGGAGAGTGGAATGCAGCTCTGATCTTGTAAAGGAGGGAAGGCAGGCAGGCAGGTGGGGTGGAAGGGTTTTAAACTAGAATGCAATTAAACTAGAAAGTCAGGCAAAACCCAGGGGAGTCCTCAAGACAAAGTTGCCCCATCGGAGGGGTCCCACATCTCCCAAGAAAGAGCCTGCCTCAATACCCCTGTCAAGCTCCATTGGAAGTATTGCTTCAGCAAGAACATGGATTTTCACGTGCAGCTGCTGAGGCATCGGTCAGTTGCACTCCTGACAGTAGCAGACCTGAGAGGCCATTTTCAAAGCCACCACTGTTGACTCAGCCTAACCTTTCTTTCACTGCTCCTGTATATTTACCTTCCACTGTCATTGGGTCAATAAATTCTCCATATAGTCTCACAGCATTGCCTGTACCGTTGTGTTTTAATATAAATACCTTCATCCAACATATTTTATTTTCTTCTCTGTCTTAATCCTACTTAATCTTCAAGATCCAGTTGAAACGCGTCTCCTCCAAGATGTCATACCAGATCATTATGGCTCCCATTTAACCCCCCTTTTCTGTCTAGGGTCTTAACTCTACCTTCCGTCATTAATTACATACCACGTTACCCTGCTCTCTACAGTTTTACGTGTGATCATTAGCTTTACTCATATTCTAACAAAGTCCCTGACTTTGCTTTTCTTTTTAATCTTCTCAGGGCTCCACACAGTGTGACAAAAAATATGGTTAAATGAAAATAAATAGCATTCTTAGAAAGACAGACAATCCTAAATGTAAAATTTAAATATTTTAAATAAATCTCAGTATCAGACACATCAAATTTCCTAACCCACCCATCGTATTCCCTCCAAGAGTTCTCGAGTGGAAGCCTGAAGCTAATTAGAACGACGATTCCCTTGCAAAGCAAGATAGCAACATTGACTGGGTATACTAACGGACCGGCAGCAATCATAAACAGAGGTTGCTTCAGGTGGAGGGGATGAAGCAGGAGACTGCTTTTGAGGGCCACTGAAGTTAGCCCAGGTGCTAGTTCATAAGGGCTCATCCTAAATGCCTAGCGAAGGGTCAAAGCTTATATTCAGTTTAGGTGATCTCTCAGAGTTTGGCAAGCAGTGATGTGGGCCATGCTTAGAGGAATTGAGACCCTGTTCATTGGACTCATCTGTTAGAGTTACACCAGTTATAGACGATGGTGAAGTCCAGTCAGAAAGACAGAGAGCAAAGGGTTGGGCTGAGGCTGCAAGTAGGGGTCAAGGGTCTAGTGAGTTGGAGAATTCTGTTGAGGAGAAATCGAGGACGGGAGCAGAAGCTGCTTCTCATTTTGTTTGCTCCCCTCCTCCAATGCTCAATCTTTAAAGATTTACCATTCATTCAGATTCTTGTTCATTCTTTCATTCACTCATTCATTCATCCACTCATTCATTCATTTATATTCGTGAGCATATTACAGGGAATGCTAGGACAAGGGATACAAACATGAGCAAGGTGAAGTTCAAGTTGTGTAGGAAGACACTCAAGTAAATAGGTTATTAAACCATAGTGAAATAAGTACTGAAAAGAGGAAACGATTATTATACAGGTTTGAGGTGGTCTGTAGAGCTTGGTGTGCTCCAAGTAAACAGCCCTCCCCAAGGCTCCGCTATGCTCTTAGTAGAAATGAAAAAAGAGCCCAGAATTCTGCACATTCTTAAAAGGAAATCTCTCCCTCCTTAGGAACAGTCCCAGCCTCATGATTACAATCTGCATGTGAGGCCATCAGGACTGACTGTATCACACCCTGCATTCTGCAAGACCCCCAAGACTTCTAGATTTTCCTGCCCTGCCCATACTCCATGCCCAACTGGTTCTGTGCATCTCCAGCTCTGATCCCACATCATAACCCTTCCTAACTCCTCTAGAACTCAGGATCAGTCATTAGCCAAGACCCTACATATCAAACTCTTCTTTGAATGTTTTCTCCTATTCCATGCTTCCTATATCCCCTTAAAATTTACAGTCCTCCTGACGTCCATACACTTGAATCCCAGAGCCTGGCGGTGATCTTGCTTTCTCCTCTTTGCCATTTTTCATCCCTCATTTCTTTCTAAAATACCACCCCACTACCCCTCCTTGTTGCAATCATTTACTGATCCCTGTATTACTCCCCTTCATTTCTAGAAGATTTTAGCTCCTGGTTATAACTCTTTTCAATACAATGTCTGCCATAATTCTTAGTAATTTCAAATAGTCGTGTACGTGATCCTTCTAATACCCTGGCCTCTTAGTTCTTTGAGCTCCTCTCTTCAAATAATCTTGTCCTTCAACATACCTCAGCTACCCACCTCCTTTCCCAGATAACATCAGATGACTCATCATTCTAAACCTCTGCTTTTCAGGGAGCAATCAGGCAGCTGAACCGAACCAGGAGGAGAACTCACAGCTAAGCTGACTGGTTTTACTTAAAATTCATTACCACTAAAGTTAAATGCTTAGTGCCACCAGGAAATTCCACTGTTTTCCAAGTCCAAACACCTTTTCTTCTCTTCCACAACTCCTCCTTCTACATTTTCCCCAAAACTTAGTAAATGGAAACTCTATTCTTCGAGTTTCTTAGACTAAAAAACCTTGAGCTCATTTTTGACTCCTCTTCCCAGTGGTGTGCTGGTAAACAGGTAACAGCAGGCACTCAGCTATGCAGAGTGGGCGAGAGGGGAAGGCCCAACTTCCTTCTGCAAATACCCCCACCATCATCCGTTTCTAGCTACAAATGTCACATCGTTGAACACTGAGCTGGCAAGAACTGCACAGTGGTGCACTATTACATATAATATTTCCACCACAGAGATACGAAAGATGTAAGTAACTAGGAAGTAGTACATTTTTAATATTTATTACCTTTTGT